GGCTGGGGATTCGAACCCGCCACCTTAGGTGTACGTGGCTGGCGCCTTAGCCGCTTGAGCCACAGGCGCCGAGCCTAACTTGTCATTTTTTAAAAAAGTCCTCTGGCAGTGAGCAAGCACTGTTATTGACTTGTGCTTTGTAGAGTACCAGATGGTTACTTGTCAGACCTTTGGAAAGCATTTGGGGGAGTATCTGTACACATTATTGGCCTCTCCATCAGGGTTAAGTAATTTTGAAATGGGATAGACAACTAGTATCTTCTATAAACTTCAGACTTCTATTCCATTTTCTTCTCTTGTTAGTTTGGATGGTTCTTACTTTAGGGTGAGAATGGGGCTGAAAAGGTCTCTTGGGGTTAAGATCTATTAAAATCAATGAAAAAGTCTTGACAAGATCTCTGAACTTAGCCCCAGCTATGAAGCTCCAAGATGGGAACTGAAAAGCTCAAAGGAGTTCCAGGTTGCTGACCTACCTGGGGTGCGTTAGACTATGGGGGTGCCAACGTCTGGTCCAGACCCCCTCTGCGCCTACCTGCACTGGATGAATCCTGGTTTTGATGCTTCCTACACCTTCCACCGTGGTGACAGCAGCCCCATGGAGGGAGCAGATGGGCACCAGGCACGCCGTAGCTGGGAAATGGCTGTGACGGAATTAGGTAAAGAGAACACATTGCAATTGTGCGGAGAGGAGTTCAAGGAGTTACGTCAGTTAACTGAGGAGACTTGTGAGACTGTACTTCTCTGACCATACAGAGCAGACTAGATATAAAACCAGAAACCTCTGGATATACCCAGAAAGGGCTTACAGATGGCTTGTGCAGAATGGTAGAAAGAAACAGAAAAAGAGGACTAATGAAGACTTTTGGGTAGCACCTCTAAGAGACCCCCAGTCTCCATTTTGTTTCTCATTCTAGAGAAAGGAATAAAAAACTCTGGGGAAGTTTTGCCATGTGATTCTTAGTAGTGGAAAGCTTTCAAAATGCAGATGCCCGACTTATATCCCAGCCCAGTTAATCAGAACATCTAGGGTGGGATTAATTAGTCACTTTTTAGGGATCCTCAGAAGATTCCAGGGCAGGCCACTGTGAGCATTGCTGTTTTCATGGGCCTTCGTCTTGACTGACCCTCCCACAGCGTCATCTGTGTCAGTGACGTGGCAAATGTGGTCAGCACCAGGTTCTCACGTCGCTGGTTGGGAAATGAGGTCCGGACTTCACCAGTTAAATTTAGCTTCTTTATTCCCACTCAGGCTAAGTTTCATTCTCTTTTCAGTTAGGAGACATTGTCCCTTTCCTGGGGAATATTTCCTCTCCTCTCTACACAGGCTGAGAGCATGAATGTGGCTCTTCCAAGGAGCAGACAGAGTGCAGAAGCCACACAGCTGACCAGCTGGGGACCCCAGAAGCCTGAAGGGCACACAGAACTTGGGTGGGTCCCAGGCTACCCTGTGCAACAGGTGCAGTTCTGCTTCTTCAGATCTGCAATTCTCTCCCCCTCACGGTTTGTCCCCTCCCATCTTATCTCCCCCTCCCCCTTCTCTTAGTGACTCTCCCAGGGCTCATTCATGGCTTTCCTTGGCCTTGTCCAAGTGCTTCAGCCCGGACCCAGAGGCAGGGGCTCCCTGCACACCCCAGCCTGCGACCACTCACTTACGTCCGCAGTCACACCTCCACTCAAGCTCGGAGGGTGCACAATCCTCCCTGCTCCTGCCCTGCCCCCCAATGCCATTCACTCTTATCTCTGCATGGACTTGTCCCATCTTCAGTGATCCCCTCTCCTCTTCCTTTCTAGCTTCTCACTTCCCTGAATTGCCTCCCATTTAGAAATAAATTCAAGCGTTTGCTGTGCTAAAAAAATCCTAAACCCGGCAGCCCACCTTCCTCTCCTTCCTTAGTCAAGTTTCTCCCTGGGCTCCTACAGCCTCTTCTCCCTTCACTCACTCCCAGACCGCCTGCACCCCTGCACCGTGCCACCCAGCCTCAGCCTCAGCCTCCTGCTGACGTTGCTCTGGGAGCAATCCAGGGTCCCTGGGCCACTCCCTGGTGTTTCACGCTAGTGACCATTCCTGCCTTCTTGGAACTTTCTCCCCTCAATGCCCCTCCTTCTCTAGCTACTCCCCGTAGGGCTCTGTGGTAGGGGCTTCTTTCCTTGTCCATTCTCCTTCTGTGGCTTAAGTGTAAGTCTTCCACTTACCTGCTTTCTGATAGTTCCTACCACTGCCTTGATGGGCACTAACTGGCCCATGAAACTTCTGGCAAGTTTTTTTTTTGAGACAAAGTTTCCCTTTGTCATCCCCGGTAGAGTGCTGTGACATCAAAGCTCACAGACACCTCAAACTCTTGGGCTCAAGTCATCCTCTTGCCTCAGTCTCCTGAGTATCTGGGAGTACAGGTGCCCGCCACAATACGGGGCTGGTTTTTCTACTTTTCATAGAGATGGGTCTCACTCTTACTCAGGCTGGTCTCAAACTTCTAAGCTCAGGCAATCCACCTGCCTCGGCCTGTCAGTGTGCTAGAATTACAAACATGTGCCACCATACCCCATCTCCTGAAAGTTTTAAATACTTAACTCTCTTAGCCTCAGTTTCCTCTTTTTAAAAATGTGAGTGAGGCTTGGTGCCTGTAGCTCAACAGCTAGGCTGCTGATCACATACACCAGGGCTCGTGGGTTCGAACCCAGGCCGGCCTGCCAAACAACAATGACAACTACAACAAAAAAATAGGTAGTGTTGTGGTAGGTGCCTGTAGTCCCAGCTACTTGGGAGGCTGAGGCAAGAGAATTGCTTAAGTTTGAGGTAGCTGTGAGCTGTGATGCCATGGCACTCTACCAAGGACAACATAGTGAGACCCTGTCTCAAAAAAAAAAAAAAAAAGTAAATAGATAAAAATAAAAATGTGAGTGAAAATAATGCTTGTCTAAAAGTTTTGTGTGTGTGGCGGGAGCAGAATATAATACATGTGAGCTACTTTGAATAGTACCTGGTACAAAACAAGTATTTAACAAATGTTAATTATTTTTCATTATCATTGTTATTATTTATGCTGATAACTTCCAATAAATTATAGCTTTAGATGAGACCTCTTCTCTAAGTATCAGACCAGCCTAATTAGATGCTGGGTGGACAGTTCCTTTTAGGTGTCCCCTAGTGACCCCACAGCTAAATTTATCACTTCCCCCACCTCTGTTCCTCCTCTTCCAAGTTCTCTAACTTGTAAACTGCACCACCCAGTCCCCTAAGGCAAAAACTTGGAAGTCATCCTGGGCAACTCCTCCTCAGCACCTCCTTTAGTCAATGAGCATACTTGCATTTTTAGGTCAAGGAGCTGGTGACTGCATCCTTAGCAGGATTTAAGGTCTCATTCAGCCCTTCCAGGCAGACACCTCTTCTAAGTGTTGTTAAAGGCCTAACTCTCCCTCCAGGAGGATTGCTTTCTGTGCATCAAGCCGTTCTGGCCTGATGCCGATCATGAAATCTCTGACTCAAAAGGAAAGGAAGTATTTTTATAGGGATAGAGCAGAGTCTGAGAGATTGGGATGCAGGATGATAGATTCCTATGGGAAGAGGGTCTGCTCGAAGGTCTGGGGTTTAGGAGGTTTAGGGAGAGCTGGCCTAGAGGCAGTCAGGGAACTGGAGACACCTGGAGAGAGGGGGGGAGGAGAGGTGCTGTGCCCAGAGCAGGGGCCAGCTGGATGCAAAGGATACTGGATGGCCTTGGTCTTGGGGTTGTATCGTGACAACATCACTGTGCAGGCCCCGCAGCTGCCTTCCCCACAGGCATATTTTGTACCCGTGAGACGGACTTGACGGAAGGGAGTCAAGGAAAAGGGAGCCAGTTTTTACCTTCTCCCCCCCCCATAGTCAAAACGAGCAACATATTTTCTTGAGTCTTGTACCAAATTGGCCAGTTTCTTGCTTAAAGACATTGTGCCGTTTTTTTGCTTCTAAATGAGCTGTTACAGACACACACTGTCTTATCTGCAAACCTCAGGTCCAGACGTACTTTGAAATTAAAAATTTCTCAGATTTTAGGAAGGTAATAATATAGCCCTCCCAATGGGTCTAGGGCAGCCGCTTGTGATGGAAAATATTAACATCTCTGCAGTAAACCACACAGATATTCACACTGACTAGGACACACCAAGACCACAGGGAGCCCGGAGCCACTTAGGTCAGGGTTTGCATCCCAACGTGTTATGAAAAAGCCTGCTGAAATCAGAGTTGTGGACAATGGATTCTGGCCCTGTGAAACATGATTGCTTTAGAGGTGGTGGGAGGTGGTTTGTGTGCAGAAATCCTTGCCCCACTCCCAGGCTTAACTTTCCCTGGTACAGCAATGTAATGCTTTTACCTTCTTAGGGGATTAGAGAATATTAATCTCACAGCCATGGCTCTTTCACCGGTAGTGTCAACAATCACGGTGTACTTACTTTCTTCCGGTAAGACATTTATGTATTTTCTCAAAGGGAGAGCAAATTACTTATGTAAATCCCCTGCTTTGAGTTCCATGAGATTTTATGGGTGGAGGTTATAATTGGCTTGGGTGGAGGTTAAGCTTAATTTTTATCTTGGAAATTGCTGCCCAGGTAGAGGTAATATAAGGTCA